TGTGTTGTTTTCAATATGCGAGGTTGGGCCAATCAATACAAATGATGTTCTTCGTTCATTATCGGACGCCGTTCTCTTATTGTAATATAAATTTCGTTTTTTTCTACTGTTATGTATGAACTTCATATTTAACATGATTTTTCTAATTGCGTAATGACCAGAGTTGTTTTTAGTTTTGGTTCGAGTTTTTCAAAAATTCATGTTTTTATATTGCTTAAAATTAATCTGAGTTATCAACAATCGACGGGTATAGCGTGATTTTATCCCTAGATGTAATCGTAATTAGTTTGGTTCTGAAAACTTTTACAATGTATCCCAGGAAACCTGGAAGTTTTAACCGGAATATCAACGCTGATCTTGATTTCTTTCCATTTATTAGTTATCAGTGAACTTCTGAAGGAATTTCATTAAGCCAAAACTATTTTTATGGCTTGATTTTGCAAGAAGAATTTGAAAAACGTTTCACTTTCTCTAGTCAACAATTTTTTCAACAGATTTTTTTTTTTCGTGTTCGTCGTTTATTAAAAAAATGCATTCAGACATTTGTGTTAATTGAACCAAAAATTTGCCCTGAAATGCTCTCCTTGGATTGAAAGTTTTTTGATTGTACGGATTCTATCAATTTTTTAGTGATGTAATTTGTATTTTGTTTTTTGGCATTTATTTTTCTATGTTATAATTGTTTACAAAAAAATTTTTTTGTTTCTTGACTGCAAGTTTTCGTTCAGTTATATCGTGATCTATTATCATTAAATGCGCAGAAAAATTGTTGGTTATTGCATCTACATAAGAACAATTAACTAATAGTTGATGTAGTTTGGCAGCTTCTTTTGTTATATAGAGGGTAAATTAATCTACATTTTTGGGGCTTTGGAAAATAGACGACAATCAAATCGACCGTAATAAAACGGAATTTAGACGATAATTTTTTGTGATTTCAGACGATTAAGAACTGGATTAACAATATTCGTTAGAATCAAGTTGTATAAAAAAGAGCATGTGACACAAAACTGATCAAAATTATTATCGTAAGTTAATTAAAAATCATTAAGCCGAAAAAGTAAATGACATTTTTTGAAATGCATAAGTTATAGAAATGTGACATTAATAACTTGATTTGTGGTTGAACAACCAGTATTCATTCAACCGAAACTGAATTGAAGTCTGTAAACAAATTTCAAACAACTTGCACGCAAGTTTTCGTCTAAGTTCCGTTACTTTCTGGTCGTCTAATTTATTGAGCCCCACATTTTGTAGAAAAAAAAATGGAAAATTTTTGCTGTAAGCTAAGTTGATACTATTTGACTTTGCAAACTTTGTAAATACAAGGTCGTTGCTGTCTATAACATCAATTTCTAAGACCAAATAAAACTCGCTCAGGCATTAATTGCGCAAAATATATCGCGTAAATTGTCCCAAAATGGCCCAAAATATTTGCAATTTTTACACTTTCATAACATGGCAAAAAACAATCACAGACAAAGTATTGCTTAAATTTGAGCTGAGGACAACAATACTTTTCGGCTGATATAAATTAATTCCGTCAAAATTCCTTGTTAAAAAGGTCAAAATTTGCCTGGAAAAAAAAACCACTCGAGCACATATAATCTGTCGGAACAAAAAAAGACGTTCAGAGGAAGTTTATCTTAACATTATACACAAAAATTTGAGAGTAAAACATAGTTAACTATTTCATTAACCTCCAAATGTCGAAGTTAAGTATTTTCAAAAATTAACGATGATTTTCATTGCCATTCATTTGTACGTTTCCGAATCTCAGAAACAAACAACTCTTTCGCAATTCTGATTTACTTATGCTATTTGCTCCGTCTTCAAGCGCCCAGACCAATAAATCAAACAGACCTGGTAGAAAAGGGTTGTATAACGCTTTGTTAATGGCCTTAATTTTTCTTAATCTTAATTGCTCGAGCCATTCGTGACTTTTCATTTGTAAACGTGGGCCTTTGTATTTTTTGATTGAAATATAAAGTTGGAAACAAAACATGGCAACTAAAATAATTGAAAGCTAAAAGAAGAAGCATGATTAGACACATATTTTCATGGCGACCTACTAATTTGAAGTCCCCTTGGTTTCCGATGGTTAAAATGGCAACGATTGAAGTTTTTCTCAATTGCAAAGTTTTTCGAATTACTCAATCAGTAGTAATACACACCCGGTAACATTCCAATTTCCGAAATACTTCAGCGGTAGAAGTTTTACACATCTAAAAACCCTACCACATGTCATTTTTTTCAGGCCAGATAACTCCTTTTGTCTGCTTTATTTATGTTCATTGCATTCCATTAATATAGTCAGTTATCGGTATTTGTGAGGAGTTTTGGCGTTTTAAATTGTCAATGTCCGTTTATAACAGAGTAAGTTCAATACAGAGAGATAGAATTTGTGTAAACAATTTGTCATAATTTTGGTGCTTCATGTTAAAACATTGAAAAACACCTCAGGATTTGAAAAAAAATTGGTTAGCGTACAATTGTTTTTCTTTAGGACTTAGTCGACCCCAATTATCAATCTTATTAAAAAAAAACGCTGTAGAGTTCATAACTCATTTTAACATAAGTAGAAAATTAGGTACTTGAGGTTCTGAAAAAACTCAAAAAAACGCCTATTAAACGGTCTTATCCATTGTAAAAAAAAACTTTAAAAACAAATTGAAAGTTTTATTAGTTTATTAAATCATCACAGATAAAAAAGGTCGATATTAAAAACATTCAAACATTTGAAAGTTAATTTTCTAAAATCTATTACTACTGAGACCTTTTTGAGCAATATCACCTACTTTTTTTTTATCAGAAACGCTGGCTGTCGTCAGGAACGATGCAATAATACGGCATCCGACGACAAAGACAACAACGACTTACAACATCCAATTCAACATGATGTTTTTCACTTTATCGCAGCGAGAAAGCAGTTACGTTTAGAGTCACTTTCAGTCTATAGAGTTTTAGCAAGCTATTTACAGGATCAGAACATCAGTTGGAAGATGAACCCGCCCTCTGCTCCTCACTTTGGTGGTATGTGGTGCATACGCCTTCAGATGATTCAACTAGTTTTTTTTCTAAATCGTGGGTCTGCACGTCTCTCTCGAGATCTTTTCATCACGATCATTGCCTAAACCGAAGGACTTTTGAATGGACAACCATTGACGCACGTCAGCAGTGATGTGCGGACGAGCTTCCATTGACGCCAAACCATTTCCTTCTTTGTCTACACACCCTCAGTGGCCTTCAGCGACCAACCAACAACTAAGCTGTCCTCCAAGTCCTGGAAGTTAGTGAAAGAGAAGATGAATTGCTTCTGGAGCCGACTCCTGAAGGAATATGCTCCCACTCTTATCCGGCACACAAAATGGTCACAGCTAGAGGGTATCAAGAAAAATGGAGACTGTACTGGAGGACTTTAAACTGCGTGGAGTCTGGCCACTTGGACGGGTTATCGAGATTTTCACCGGGCCTGCAGGCAGAAGGCGTTCATGCGTGATAAAAACAGCGCTAGGTTAAACTACTAGACCCGCCGTAAAACTAGAACTAGCAACTCCTAAGGAAAACACTGAGGGCTCCCCGAGGATGTTAATGACCTTAACATCTCTTAATGTTTATTGCTCGAGCCATTCGTGACTTTTCATTTGTAAACGTGCCCACTTTGTAACTTTTGATTAAAACTTAAAGTTGGAAACAAAACATGGCAACTAAATTAATTGAAAACTGAAAAGAAGAAGAATGAATGCGGAATTTTGCGTTCTGATTTAAAAATTATGTTCTTCAAAATGTTGTCAAGACAATTTAATCTCAAGTTTTAGGATCCCCTAACTTCTGAGATTAAGTATTCAAAATGATTTTCTCATGCTTTCCTATATCAAAAAGAACTGCCGCTTTTTGTTTTTCAAGTGTTAGCTCTATTTTTGGACAAGATTTCATCGATTCCGACAGCGCAGCGGGTATTCTTGCAGCTTTAGTGTTAGGAGGTGAAATTGAGCTAGCTAGTAATCAAGTTGAAAAACTTGGCAAATAAAGCGTGCTTTTATATCTGTTCACTGAAAAACGTTGGTTTGTATTATTTCACTGCTTCAAAACGTTCGCCAGGGATTAACAATAATAGAACAATTGTATCTGATTTTGTACATTACGAAGCCAAACTGTGCACTGGATAGGCGCACAATTTTGTGTCTGCATAATCCTGGATTCCAGAGACAAGTCTTAAAACATGTTAAAATTTTGTCGGACGATCAAAGGAAAGTAAAGAACAAAGGAAAAACAAAGGGAGCGTCCTTGTTGCGGAATCCGATTACAATGCACACAATGCACAGTTTGGCCTCGTTATGCAGAGAAAAAAAACAACCGTTGATATAAAAACAACCGTTGAGTTCGAGAAAAACTCCAACTCAAACAAAAAAACTAACTGCATGGTTGTGCAAACAATTAAGTACTTTTTTTATATAAATTGTGGTAATGGTTTTAAGGAGGAAGAGGGAACGAAACCAAGCTTCAATCCATTACCATTTGAAATGATGCAAAATAATTGCAATATATTTGGACACTTAATGCAGTCCATTGAAGAGCAAAACCATTGAGACTTTTTTCTTGACACCAAAAATAATTTTTAAATATTTTTTTTTACTGATTTATACAGTATGGATAACTATTTTTAAAAAGTCAATCTATATATTACTCGAGCTAGTACGACTTTCTGGTATCGGTTTTAGCAAAAAAGCACATTCGAACGCAAAATCCTTACGACAAATGTATATTGATCTTTTTTCTGAATAAGAAAACTTTGTTCAAACAAACTCTTCTGGCCCAAAATGCTAATTATATACCAACCTTTTTGATAGCGCAATTTGTTTTGATTCTATTCGATCTTTTTGGAGTCTGACATTTTTTATAATTCTTTTTTTTTCTTGAAAAATACCCATTCACCTGAAGAAACAAATGGCCCACTTCTGTTAACTGCAAAAGAAATTTCTTGAGTTCTATTACGCGTATTTATTCAAGTTATTGAAATGGATTGAAATTACAAATGAAATTTTATTGCTATAATTTAAAGTGTTGAAAATTGAAAATTGATGTAGATATATTGCAGCTGCACTGAATGTAGTATGCTCTTTCCCATTTGGCACCTTATAAGAATTAGTTCTATTTGAGATACTAGTTCTGGCCTGATGTCGTGGCACCAGAACCAGTGTAGACATCTCGACTCTTGGAGGCCTGAGCTCGGAAGTAGATCTCAACCACCTGGTAGATTTCCTCGAAAGTGGGTCGATCTGCTTCTCTGAAACAATTAATTCAGTACGAATTCATTCATTGCATTCAGTACGAATAGAGGAATCAGAGTATGGCTGGCAATTAGATTCAGAAGGTTTTTGAGGCGCTTGAAAACAGACATTTTAGGTCTAATAGCATCTTCCCAATCGTTTGTCAGTCAATAATTTTGTTTGCTTTTTTCATATAAAACACCATTATTTTAGACTTCAATTTATTATTTTCATCATTAAGGAATATGACAAGAGACTTCGCGTCGCAAGTTGAAAAAGACGAAAGAAGGTAACAACAACTTTGATAAAAAAATACCCAGACTAAGTTAATAATTAGAGTTTGTTTTTGTGGCGAATACTCACTCGTACTCCCAGCATCGAAGCATGAGTGAGTACATTTCGGGAGGACAGTTGGGGGGACACTTCAGACGAGCCCCCCTGTCAATCATGTCCAGGATCTCGCTGCTGCGCATGTTCTGAAAACACATTCATACATTGCACAAAATAGACAAAATAGAGTAAGTGTATGAACTAATTGGGTAAACTCACAAATGCCTGATGATTTTTATAAAATATAACTCTTTGTGTGAGAGAGACGCCTAGGCTTAATAGAAAGCAATAGGAAGTGCGGGTTGTCTGGAGAAGTTAGGAACTGATTTTCGTTAGTGTTCTATAAAAAATGATACCAAGAAAGATCCTGTAAGAAGGATTATTCAATTAACATTTGTATCTTCAAATCATATTAATCGCTGATTATCAAACAATCTAGTAAGAATTAGTAATCTCAATCAATTGTTTATTTCATGGGAATGGTCTTTTGTTCTATATTACCCTGCCCTGTCCTCCCCTTACCCCGTAAGGCCTCAGTCCGTAGCTGAATATCTCCCACAGAGTGACCCCGTAGCTCCACACGTCCGACTTGGAGGTGAAGGTGAAGAAGTAGATGCACTGGGGCGCATACCATCTCACAGGCCAGTGACCCCCGTCATTCGCCTATAGACAAACAGATAAAGATGAAGCCCCCTAGCACTATCCAGTGAAGTAAATAGCTATTTATTTTGAAGCTATTTGGAGTCAGAAATAACCTGGTTTAACCAAGTTCAAATCAATCGTAAAAGGATGTTTGTGTGTTGCGTGTGTGTGTGTGTGTGTGTGTGTGGGGGGGGGGGGGGGGGTGGGAGGTAGGGGAAGGGAAGGTAGCAACGCTTATGAAATTTATGTTTATTCATCCGTACCCTATAGTAGTCCTTGTTGAATGAGAGCATCCTTGACATTCCGAAATCACTAATTCTTGCATGTCTGTCTGTGGCTAAGAGGACATTCCTTGCTGCAAGGTCACGGTGCACGAAACTCCTCCTCTCCAGATAGGCCATACCACTGGCCACTTGCAGGCCATAGTTCATCAGCATCTCCACTGGAACAGTTCTAGACACACAAAACCACACAATAAACAAGGATAGCCGATTACTGTGCAAGTAGCACAGAATGTTCCGACCACAGTCTTTAAAAATAACAAAAAAAAATTTTTTTTTTTTACTAATTGGTGTCGATTTTTTTCTGCATGTTGTGATACAAAATCTGAACAAAAAAAAAGAATATAGGCATATTTGAGAATCATAGTAAAATAGGTCAATTGGAAAACAGTTTTTTAAAAAATGACTAGAAAAATGAACGACATTTTTTCAATTTTTTTTTGCAAAATGTTTGAGATTTTTCAAAAATTTTGACGAACTTTTTTTTAGGTCAACCAAATTGATTTTTCGAGCTCTCCTAAATCAGTAAAAAGACGATGTGTTGGCCGAATTTTCTGCGCCGCAGGCAAATTTTTGAAAAAATCAGTAAAAAAGGCGTTTTTAGGCACATTTTGGAAAATTTTGACCAAAAAATTGCGTTTTTTCGGCGCGCGCTCCCCCCTCAAAATTAGTATATATTGGCGCCCAAAGCGCCTTTAGAAAAATTTTAGGGTCGGTTGGCCAAAATTGATTTCTTAAAAAGTACCAAAGGGGGATCCTTTGGGCTGGCAGGGGGTCGAATCCCTGAGGGGAGAGCGTCCGCCCCCCCCCCCCGCCCCCCCCTAAATCCGCCCCCGGCCGCAGGCAAATTTTTGAAAAAACAGGTCAGAAAAGCCGTTTTTGGGCACCTTTTGGAAAATTTTGACATAAAAATTTCGTATTTTTTGGCGCGCGCTTCCCCTCAAAGTTAGTATATATTGGCGCCCAAAGCGCCTTTAGAAAAATTTTAGGGTCGGTTGGCCAAAATTGATTTCTTAAAAAGTACCAAAGGGGGATCCTTTGGGCTGGCAGGGGGTCGAATCCCTGAGGGGGGGGGAGCGTTCGCCCCCTCTAAATCCGCCCCTGTATTGTATGCATATACGGTCACCTTATTAGCTTGAAACTAGACCAAAAATCAAAAACTTAAAAAAGGTTTTTCCCGATGCTGTGAAAAAAAATTCAAACTTTTTAAGAGTCGTTCAAATCGCGACTGAAAGGGCTTTAATATGATATGTCACTGAACTCTCTCCGAGGATTATTTGTGGTAGCTGATTTTGCGTGGAAAACAAAAAAATACTAAAACACCCGAATACAAAGTTCCTGCCCATTTTAATAAATAGAGTGAAATCCATTACTTTCTTCAATTCCAAATCTAAAGTGCATCCCACTCGAATTCCAGAGATGTCGTATCATGGTGTTTTCAGTCGTGCTTACAGTGTTCTAAGCATACGACTTGAAATAGTTTCAAAACTTATATTTAAATTTCCTACACATATACGCCGCATGCCATATATGGAAAAAATACTTTTGACTATTCAACATGTCGGTAATTGTTCCGACTTTCGCTACGAAAAAAACGGAATATTTGTGCTCGGGGTGGGTTTTTTTTTCTTCAGACAAGTTTCGACTTTTTAACTAGCTTTTTTTGACGGATTTTTTTTATCATTCAAAAGGTATTATTGTCTTGAGCTTAAATTTAAAAAGATATTTCACCTGTGATAATTTTTCGTAAAGTTATGGGGGTTTAAATGTTGCCATTTTGACCATTTTGGGACAATTAACGCGCGATATATTTCGCGCTATTAACGCGTAAGCGGAGAGTTAATCCGTCTTAGAAGTCGTTCCAAATTGGTTGAAAGAAGCTTATTTGCCATAATTGATTTGTTAAAAGGAGCTAAATCTATCCTTTTGTACTTAATATGGCGTTTGGGAATATGATTTTCATAAAATTTCAAATTTTTTTTCATTTTGTTTTATTCATTTAATTTTTAATTGTTATTACTACTACATAAACCTTAAAAGGCCGTCGGAACATTCAGGGCTTCTCCCTGATACGAGCAGTCTTGTTTATATAGAGGATTCATCATTGTCGCTTTCTTTAAAGTGTAGAGTTGTCTTTTATTACGAGTAGTCTTATTTCTAGCATTTTTGAAACTTAATTGTGCATTGCGGTGAAGCCAAAAATAGTTTTTTGAAGGCAACACGTGGGAGTAGTACAAACCAATAGAAAAAACTCGAATGCATTGAATTTCAGCTTATTGTGGATTATCAATGTTGTTATGGTAAATATTAATTGAAGTTACTTCATAAGCAGGTCTAACAACTAAAGATTCTGGTGATCCCCATTCACGCTTCAGAAAAGATTTGAGATTACAAACAGCCTAACAACAGATCAACACAAAAACGAATGCGGCTTTTTATTTCCAGCTAAATTTGACTTTAGCTGAAGCGCATATCATCAAGTTACAAGAGTTTATGTGCGTTTCAGACTCTGAAACGCACATATCTACTGTTTCCAGGCCTTCTCCAAAGAAATCAATTTTTGAACTAACGGCAGTTGAAAAATTGTTGGTTATACCAGATTACTCGATTCTTCTCAATAATTCGACATTGAAATTTGAGAGGTATATTTACAAAAACATCTAGATTTACCAAAGCGAATATTGATACAACCCTATACAGAAATCGCTGTAACATGTTTTTGGAAAAGTATTAATAAATTGAAAGGAGCCTAAAAAGTATTCAGTAGAACAGCCACAGCAAACTTGCTGATGAAACAAGTTAGTTGTAGAAAATTGAATGAATGGGTAATTTGTCTACTCCGTTGGTATCGATACAATTCATTTCAATTCATTTTCTAAAATAAAGTTCGCAAGTGTCATTTTTTTTACTCTTTAGAAATCCAAGTTTTTGTTGAAATTTACTTGGACCTTTTTCCTATAGTTCGGACTGTTTTATCTTCTTGATTGTTATATTTGGTCTGAACATCGATTTGAAAAATAAAAAAAAAAGAAACTGCTTGTATCAAGGCAAAGCTCTGCATGTTTCGAATGCCATTTAATTGGTCTCGAATAGTTTTTGTTAAATTAAGTAATGGCAAAACTACGAGTTTTAGGCCGATCATATTAAAAGTTAAGTGTTACAATTTGAGTCGTGTATGGAATTATTAAAACTTTTGTAAAACATTTTTGCTAAATTTTTAGTTCTTCTTAAAAATTAATCCACCGATTTTCAAAAAGCGTACCAATGGAAAGACCGCCTGCCTCCAGTGAGCCTGCATACTGCACTATTCTTTTGCTACCTTGAACCTCTGTAAACGGCCTTCAAAAAATCTGTGGGGGAATATTGGATCCTCGTTTTTTTGGTTTTATTTTTCATTCTCTCAAAAACTACCCTTTCAAATCTGAGACTTTGGTTTCAATAAATGAAACGGATTTGAAAAGCTCCTCTGCACATTTTTTGAAATTTTTTGATTTTTCTCTAAAAAAACTTTGCGAATCTGTGTGTTTGATGCAATCGATATTAAAAATTGCGTGAATGTCTGCAATTTTTTTTAACAGGAAAAACTATAATTATTAGAAATGCCAAGTTTTTTGGTTTGTTAAACGTTTTTTTTTCGACTTTTCATCATAACCATTGTGCCAAAATTGGTATCATAGTCTTAAGAGAAACAACAATTTGTTGAAAATCTACCTTTATAATTGGCTGTGCCCATTTTTTTGTACAAAAGTTATGATGGTCTTCAAACAAGCCAAAGTTTTGAAACTTGACAGTTTTGTGGAAATTTTTTTACTTTATTCGAAAAATACCGAGACAATTTTCAGATAAGTTTTCAACCAAAAATCCCGTTGTAGGAGTTTTTTCTCTACTTTGACAGCCACGACCTACTTTTTACCGAAAAAAGTTATAGATTTCGGAAGTCAAGTTTTCGAAATGTTGACCAATTTTTTTTGAACTTTTTGAATTTAATTAAAAACTGTTTCATCAAATCTGAGAAAAAGTTCAATAGGAAGAGCCGGTTGCAAGAATTTTTCCTGCAGAAGCGTCGAATCCTTAGTTTTTTTTGCAAGAAAAATAATAAGACCTTGGAAAAACCAAAATCTCAAAAATTTTCTTTCTTTCTTACTTTACTAGAGAAACAACTAAGGTTTTGGTCCATGTCTAGTTTTTGAAATGATGCAAATTTTGTGTGAGAAAGTCAAAAAACATCAAATACGTACCTCCAGCTTTGGTTGACCGCCTAGTTTTTGGTTCGCCTAGTTTTTTTTTCATTTTCATTTTTTTCGACTTATGTGCTTTATGTTTGTGCTGTAATGCTAGCGGTGCTGTAATTTTCCCCCAGTTTGCGTGCCGTTTTTTGGCTAGTCATTAGAAACTGAAGTTAGCTGTGTATTAGCTTGTTATACTTAGAAAAAATTCTTATGTTTAAACTGTTCCCTAAGTAACATTTCTGGTTACGTCTGGTAAAAAAAACTACTGATAGCAAATTAACTTGAGTTTTTTTTCGGAATAAATCAATCAGAACGCATCGTCTACTGCAAATTGAAGTACTCGAACAACCCTAAGTCACAATTCCCTCCGTCCCTCCGTACCCAGTAAACTTTCTAAAACAGATCTGAAATAATCTTTTTCAGATCTAAATTTCAGATCTCAAATAGGTTGTGAAATGCTTAAATAACGCTTGTATAGTTTAAGAATTGGTTTTTTCAGACCTAATTTTAGGTCTGAAATTTTCTTTTTCTTGGTTATTTCAGATCTGAAAAAATCTATTTCAGATCTAATTCCAGATCTGAAATTTAGTTTTTCATGGTTATTTCAGATCTGAAAAATCAATGATTCGGACTCAATTTTTGCTATTTTTGCTTTTTTTAAGCTGGTACTCAGCAAAATCTCAGTTGTAGACTGCCTATGTATTTTGCCCCAAGCATGAGATAAACATTTTGAAAACTTTTTATTACAGTTGAACAAGAAATTTAGTTCAAAAATAATCTATTTGTCAAAATATTCGGAAGTTCTTCTGAACGCTAGTTAACCTAAACTTAATTGTGTATTGCAGAAACATCAAAAAATAAAAACTTCATGTTTTGCTCGAAATGCATAAATTATTAATTATTAAAGGATTTCTCAGATCTGATTTCAGATCTGAAACTTTGTTTTTCATGGTTATTTCAAATCTGAAATTTTCCATTTCAGATCCACATTTCAGATCTGAAATTTGTAAATTTTTATCAAGATCTGAAAAAAAGAATTTCAGATCTGAGAATCAACTTATGTAAGAAATAAAGAATTCCAGATCTTGTACAGAAAATCCCGGGGTCGGCGTTGATCGGACAAAAAATTCTGCTTTGTGGAAGGCACTACCCACTATAATAAGGAGTGAAAGGTTGCCTTAATCTGAAGAGTGGGTGTGACTCACTTGTGCTTTTTCAAGTATTTGTTAAGCTGTCCGATAGGGGCAAGCTCAGACACCAGCATCAGCTCCGGACCATTGAAGATGCCTGCAAAGAGCAAACATCACATATGAACAGATATAAATTAGTGTAATCAATAGGAGGCCTAGGAAATTAGACGACAAGCAAATTAGACGACCGTAAAGAAACGGAATTTACGGACAATCAGTATTTACACAGCCAAAAGTTAATTTAAGTCTCAGACATAGTTAAGACCAATGAATGCAATTCATTGCTTATGTCATTGTTTCATAAACAGCACCATTTCGCGATCGAAGAGAGTCTTTTTTCTAAATCACTTCAAAATTGAGATGACGCCCATTTAAGTCTGAGTTCTGATCATAACCAGGCAAATACAGACCAGC